AAAAAAAAAAAAAAAAGATCACGTCTTCCGAGGCTCTGGACTGGCTTTAGGCCTGGATAGTCCATGGTGGTGATAACTCTGGCGGACGGCAGCCAGGCTACCGAAGCCCCAAGACTCAAGAACTCAGTACATACGTACAGTGTCGATTCATAAATTCCGCAAAAATCCAGCATGTGTCGGCCTGTCGTATACGTCGCTATGTAATGCGTCAAATTCACAATACCAGCTGTGTATTCCTGTGGTTTAGTAGCATTTTTATTTTGGGCTGGATTTTTCTTTTTTTCGCCCGCACGCACTAGTTTGGGGGTCTTCAGAGGATGTCATCCATAAAATTAAATCGGTGTGGCCTAATGGAAACAGGACAGGGAAATCCCTTGTGTAGTGACATCTCACGTCTTGATGTCGTGAGATCCTTTGAGATGCCATTACCAGCTTGCATCCAAGTCTCCCATTGGGGGTACTGAAGGTTATTCTCACGTAGCGCTTCTGTGGTACATCAAGAGAAATATAATGTACAATGCATGAATTCATCTGTGTTGTTACAAGTCATTATGAAATAAAGACTCAACTTTCTCTGCCAACACTATATAATGAATTGGGACTTACCCCAAACTCCTTCAACCTTGTTCACGGAATGGACCCGTCAACTCTTGGAACGTGAGACACAGAGAACAGAGACGGGGGGTGACACAAGTTATCTGGCACGTATGACCCGCTACTACGGTCACGTGTCCCTGACGTCACGTTCCAAGAGTAGGACGGGTCCATTACGCGTGAACAAGGTTGAAGGAGTCAGCCGAAAATTTGGGGTAAGTCAAAATTCATTATAGTGTTGGTAGAGAAAGTTGAGTCTTTATTTCATATTGTACAATGATAATGATGATAATGATAATAATGCTGACGACCTTTATTGTACATTTTTGCCCCACTGGGCTAAGCACGGGTCACATGTTAAAAACCATATACAATGTATATAGATGCATATATAAACGTTTATTATACACGAGTAATTTTGACTTTCTCTCGCTTCTTGTTAATATTTAACTGCCCTTGTTTTGTATGTCTCCTGTACCCTCTTTGTTTATGCCTTCTTTTGCCAGTCTTCTAAAGTATCCTCTTGGTTTATTTCAGCTTAAACGTTTCCTAGGGAAACCCGCCGGTGGCCAGACGACAAAGCCTGTTTATTCGTGAACATCATTCGTTAAAAGCCTGAAATTCACTTCAAACTGTTCCTCTTTGCTCCATTAACGCTAACAAGATGTCTGAGGTCGAACTCAAATCACCCCATTTCCGAGCAAACCACCGTAGATGTAAAATAAATTGCACAAAATGACAAGATGGCGTGTTATCATGCTGACAGTTAACCATTACAAAACATTGCACTTCAAATGACCCATAATAAAGCTCAAATTCATGTTTCATATTTGAACCCTGATAGCAAGAATATAAACACACGAAGTGAAATTTCTGCCTCCACGAATATGATATTCGCCCTAAACGGAGGATTCGAATAACTGGTGTGTTACGCCGAAGGGCAGTTATACCGGCTATATCGATACAGATACAGAACCTCCAAGCAGATCTTTCGGTGGCAGCAATAAAGTATCGAATTAGCAAGAAAATATCAAACTGGCAAAAAATAATCCAGAACCTAAAGCTCTGCTTGGAGAGTAGGATTTGCAGGCCTTCCCGGGGCAGTATAGGGTCTTATGTGACGTCAAGACTGTAGGGAGAAATGACACCTACATCGGCAGGTGACTCCCCACGACATAACGTACGTCTGTACTTCACATCTGAGGCGTTTTCGGAATTTATTTCTTCCACATTGTCTCGTCTCGCATAGCTGTTTGGTACATTCACGAAGACGTGATTTTCCACTGACAGTGAGTATATATCCGACAGTACTTCTCAAATTGCATAATAATAATAATAGATATTGTGTGCATTCCCTATCGGGCTCAGTACAGGTGAACAGATGTTGTCTTATTGGAAGATGGATGGCAGATGCAGAGAGGAGACAAGAAAAGGCTCTGATTTAATGTTTTGTTTCTTACTTTGATGCAGTGATATGTGATGCTGGTTGTGTACATGTGATGTTCCCACTGAATCAAGACCATTTGTACAAAATGATTGAGTCAAATTTTAAAATGTAGGAACCTTGTTTTTCCGCCCGCCTTTTTCTCGCTCGCTAGCATTAGATTTTGAGTCTGCGGAGAATGTCATCCATAAAATTTACTTGCTGTGGCCTCCCCGCGGATCTTGGGGAGCAGACTAAAGCTAATTAATATAACAAGACTTGACACCAGGCTAATCTGATTGGATTTCCGAATGTAGGCGATTGAGACTCGGACAATTATCTCTGAAGAGATAGAACTGCTTTATACTATGCGAAGTGCTAGATTTTGCAAATTAGTAAGATGTCATTTTGTCTATTCGCGACATTGTAAGATTAAGGTTCTTTTGGAAATACTGTATCACAAGACTCAATATACAACCATGGTTTTTATATTATACTAAGTCGCTGAAATACAATCATTCTAGTACATGTATAGCACATACATAAAAACTATGCGTCTCTATTCAGAGAGTTCGGGTCCATCTGTGGTATAGACGTCATAGCCAGAACGTCAAGCCAAGAAAATGGCAGGTTATGTTACTGAAATAGAATCCAATTAATCTGCAAATGATTCTAATGAAGAAAGGCGATATGCCTAAAACATGCCAGCTGTGACCCAATTTGTGCAGAGCTACATAAATCTTGATTGACTTTCAGTTTAATTTAAATCCACTATTTTGTTACGTTGAAGGATATGTTGGAAGTCGTCAAATTTCCTTACTATTTAGTTGTGTTTTAGCTGATCAGAGTATTTCATGTTGTTACCAAATACGTGCTTTGAAACAGCGAAATCTGCGTCTGGATTCAGCAAAGCATGTTGCTTGTATGAGGTAAGCAAAATTTGATATTTTCAAGTTGATAACGTTAAGGCCATGCTAAGTAATTTTATGGATGACATCCGCGCGCGCATTGACTTTGGCCTGTTCCCAGAAAAACAAAAACAAGATATACCGCTTCTTGTAACTATGACCAAAAGTCAAGACAGTGGGATAAGGGAAGATGATAAAAGAAAGACACAGGGCAGGACGACAACTGCTTTTCTACTGATTTAGTGCAGTTTTCGTGGCGAATAAAAGTCTGCTTGGTTGGTTGTTATGTTGTATTCTCTCATTCAATGTGCGTCCTAACATTTGTCGTCCTTCAGCATATTTCAAATCTAGGCGCCTTTTTTGGCCACTCTTATTTTTTCGCGCTCTCGTATTATATTCAAGGTCTCCAGAGTACGTCAAATTACTTGGTGTTGCCTAACCTTGGATTCAGGGTTATGGTAATGATGATCTGCACGTTTTTTGAAACGTGCCTCCGGATGCTGCGTGAAAAACGGCTTTAAGTAACATATTGGTTGATTGGCAGCCTCGACCTTCACAGCATATATGTTTCCATTTCACCGTCAACCATT